CATGGTGAATCGTGTTATGAGCTTCCCCATATGTTCATCATAGCATGTGTATCCACATAGAGCTTGTAATAATAATTGTATCTTATCTTTAAAGGATTTGTCAGCTCTAGTAAGAAAATACTTACGCCAAAATATGTTGTTGAATTTGAAAAATGAGTAATTTGAATAGTTAATAATTCAACTATCATTGAGATACTATAATTGATATTTTGAAAGAGGACGAGTTAAAACAGATGGTGGTTTGGGATGGATGAATATATGGCGTCGAGTACAAGAAGATAATGTTGCTTGTCTTCAGTTACTAAGAATGTCACTTGATGGTTTTAGTTCATTATGTGAGAAGTTTCAAATGAGTTATGGTTTACAACCTACATTGAACGTAAGCAAAGAATAGAGTGTGGTCATGTTTTTACTATGTGGGCACAATAAAATTCAACGAAATGTTAGACTGCGATTTGGACTAACGCAAAAAAGACAGTGAATAGGAAGTTTTTTGAAGTCCTTGGAGCGATTGACTTACTTGCTTGTGATTATATAAAACTCCAACGAGGCAAGAATTACGTCGAATTCTTGAGAAACTACAAATGGATCAAATAAATTGACCGTTTTAGTAGATTCGTTGGAGCCATGGATGGGGTTCATGTATGCGTTAAAGTGAATTCTGAACTCAAAGGATTGTAGTAAAATCGATATAATAGAACATCGTTTAATATAATGGCAATATGTCATTTGAATATGTTGTTCACATATGTTTGGAATGGAGCGTCCGACTCATGTCACGACACAATAGTTATCACGATGGCAGAAGATAGTGATTCTGAATTTTCTTTGCTTCTGACAGAAAATATTATGTAGTTGATTCCAGCTATCTAAATAAACAAAGTTTATTTTGCTCATTATTGATCTTCACGGATGGGGTTCTTAGGTATCATATATCATAGTTTTCCAATGGTCCTCTTCCAAGAAACAAACATGAACTATTTAATCGTTGTCATCCATCACTATGTTCTGTTACAGAGAGAACATTTAGAGTTTGAAAGAATAAATAGAGGATTCCTTGTGAATTTTCTAGATATAATACGCGTGTTAAGAAAATATAGTGGTAGTGACTAATAAAAAATAATTTAGAAGATAATCTATAATAAAAACAAAATTTGTAATGTTCATATAGTTACAATATAATTATTATTTTATAAAATAAATTTCTTAAAAATTTGTGTGTGTTTTAATATATTTAACGGTTTAAATATTTGATTTTCACCGTTTGAACTGTTTACGCTATTCAAATACTGGACTTCTTGATCAGCTAGCTAGATTTATACTTGTCCTGCATGATCTGCATTTTTTTCTATGATCTGCACCGTATGATCTGCTTTTAACATTCAACACCTTAAAATACTATCAAACGTTGGAGTCTTTCATATTCGTCCAATTAAAAAATCGTTGATTTGACACCGACATGTCGCAAGATAATTTGCTGGCACTTATGATCAAAAATACTTGTAACGATTAAATTTAACTCAACGTGAAAATATAAAAACTGACAAAATTTATTTATGATTTTTAGTAACAAAATTTTACGGAATAATTAATAATTTAAATGGTAAAATTATAACCAAATAAATAAAAAAATGACTGAAAACGTATTTAAATATATAAATAAAATCATTTAATGCTTTAATTAACTAATGTATAAGTGAATAAAAATATTTGAATTATTCTCAAATTAAGAGTAATACAAATAATATTTTGATCAGTAACAGTGAGTTATTATTCTTCTAGGTTGTTTTGAACTATTGATAACATGTAAGCAATTAATAAAAAGCTTTTTTTTAAAAAAAAAAATTTTGATTTTTAAGATTAACATGGTAACACAATTTTAAACTATCTAGCAGCTTAAATAATAATAGGATTAGTAAGAAGATTACTGAAATTTTATTATTTTGAATAATAGTAAAGATACTTGTGAATTCGTTGTGGAAAATTTTAAATGTCATGTGAAAGTTATTATTTCCCGAATTATGAAATATTATATGTAACTATACAAAATATATGAACATGAATTTGACTCTTAGTCGTTGAGATATTCATTTTATATATTTGAATTACCTATATTCCATACCCATATTTAGGTCTGGATATAAAATGAGAAACTCGAAAACCCGATAAGAACCCGATCTAAAAAACAAAATCGATTCGGTTTGGTTTTATGTAGTCAATATTACCCGAAAGGATTATCAATTATTATTTTTTGGATCTCGGTTCAGTTCGGGTAGAATCTTAAATTGGAGAGGATACCCAAAAAATCCCAAACCGAACATATACCCATAAAACCCAAAACACTACATACACATGATTTTTTCGAATTTTTCGGGTTCTTTTCTCTGCTAATCCGGGTCCAAAATCCAAACTGAATATTATTTTTGTTCTATATTGGGTTTCAAATAAATTTTTGAGAACTAGTCTGAACCCGAATATGAACCAAACTGATCCGATCATAAATTCATTCACTTCCTAAACGAATCCTTAACCTCTCAACCCGAAAACCCAAAAACCCTAATTAGTCGACTGAAACCGACTAGAAAATCCGAATGCATAGGCCTACCCAAATTTTAATAATAGACGTAATATTTGATATCTTAAATATCTATAATCTATATGTATACTTACTATTATTCTTTTTTAAATCTGAAATGAACATACCTACGTGTCAATTAGAGTTTGAAAAAATTGTTCAATCTAGCTAAATTCACTAATTCAGTTTTTGTCTAAATGGGTTGACGGAATCTATGAATCTAGCTAAATTATTTTTCTATGGAACCATTTACATCCTTAATATGTATTAAATTTATCTCCAACATTAAGGGAGACTCACAAAAATGCCCCTTTTTCAATACCCCTTTTCAAAAATGCCCCCTTTTGCTGTCCATTTTTAAAAATACCCCTTTTTATGTACAAAATGACTAAATTACCCTTCTTTTAATAAAAGATATCACAAATATATAAGGAAATATAACAAAATTAGGTCCACAAAAATACAAAATATTTTTTGGCGGGAAAAGTGATCCAGCAATTTTTCCCGCCAAAACACTTGTAAAAACTTGTAAAACCTTTAAAATACCTTGTAAAATTTTCCCGTAAAATTTTTTCCCGCCAAAAAATTTTCCCGCAAAAAAAAATTTTTTGTGGGAAAAGTGATTCCGCAATTTTTTTGGCGTTAAATTTTTGGCGGGAAAATTTTTGGCGGGAAAAATTTACAAGGTATTTTAAAGGTTTTTTACAGGGTATTTATAAGGTTTTACAATATATTTTAAAAGGTTTTACAACGTATTTATAAGGTATTTATAAGATATTATAAGATTTTACAAGCTATTTTATAAGGTTTTACAAGTTATAAGGTTTTACAAGTTTTTTTAAGGTTTTACAAGTTATAAATACCTTATAAAACCTTGTAAAACCTTTTAAAATACATTGTAAAACCTTACAAAACACTTGTAAATACTCTGTAAAACCTTTAAAATACCTTGTAAATTTTTCCCGCTAAAAATTTTCCCGCCAAAAAAATTTCGCCAAAAAAATTGCGGAATCACTTTTCCCGCAAAAAAAATTTTTTGGCCGGAAAATTTTTTGGCGGGAAAAATTTTTACGGGAAAATTTTACAAGGTATTTTAAAGGTTTTTACAAGTGTTTTGGCGGGAAAATTGCGGGATCACTTTTCCCGCCAAAAAATATTTTGTATTTTGTGGACCTAATTTTGTTTCAAATAAGGGTAAAATGGTCATTAAAAATTAAAAGAGGGCAAACTTAAAAATGGACTCTTAAAGGGGGCATTTTTGAAAAGGGGTATTGAAAAAGGGGCATTTTTAACAATTTCTCCAACATTAATATGATTCAACTACAATGGTAATTTAAATTTAATTAAAATTCTGATTACTTTGGTATATATGTTTAATAATTTTTAATTTAAATGTTTATCCTAAATAATAAATATGAAATAATTTTGTATATATCTTGTTATTCTTTTCTTCAAAATAGCTGGTTTTCTTAATATATATATATTTATATATATATATATTTCTTAATATATATATATATATATATATATGTTATATATATCCACACTTTCTTCTCTTTTAAAAAGCTGGTTTTCTACTATCTAAATTAATTTTCTTAAATAAATTACAAAATATATATTTGTAGATATATGTTATACGATTCAAAAGCAAGTTAGATCATATATTACTTACGTCAAAAATTCTTGGGATGACATTGGAGGAAAGAACAAAATTATAAGAACATTAAGTGGTTTTCATAACAATTGTATAATTTTCTTTCACACCGATTTTGTAAGATGTATTTAAATTTGGCAAGAAAAAAAAAACATTTCAAGTTATATTTAAATTTAATGGATAAGCCCGTAAGCGTTATTTGAGGTGGGAAAAGTGGTGACGTGAGCGAAATCGCCAGTGTCACATCTTAAGTGTCAGTCTTTACTCTTTTAAAAACAAATATCGTATCACATAGATTTGGTATCATTAAGGATAATAATTAGCTCTAGGTTTGTTATTACGCCATCACAAAAAAATTCATATTATTAAAATATCTTTTCCAAGTATATATATGTGTGTCGTTTTGATACTCCTCCACAATTGCAATTTGCAACCTTCGATAGAAATAGTGACTACAAATGGTTATCTTTGACACTGACACTGCCTGTCACTGCCCCAAAGCCGGTTTTAATTTATCCTTCCCACCACATCATCAAATCATCATCATCATTATTATTATTGTATGTTTAATTATGACTATCACATCCATTAATTATTTGCATTGACAATTGCAAACGTACTAATAAATTTTCCCAACGGTACATTGCTTTGGAGATATACTTGTGTCTTTATCTTGCATTTTATACGTAAAAACCATAAATATGGAGTAAAATAGAAACGTAATCTATATAGTCATCTTCGTTTAAATAGGGGTTTCTTAGAAAATCATGAGAGATAAAAGATGATTCATTGACGTGAGCAACAAAAGTAGTGCATATCTTACATTCACTTTCATGAAACTACAAGCTTAGCAAACGAAACTGGTTACACAAAAACAAAACTCCCAAAATGATAAAACCGATAAAACAGAAAGTAATTTACAACATGAAATAAGTAAAAGGAACAAGATTAGGTCAAGGGAGATTGGATTGGTTTCTTGGCTGTCTTGGTGGGTTCACATGATGGTGCAACGGGTCAGGTCCTGAAGGAACAGTCCTTAGCTCCTCATGTAGTCCTAAACCTTTCTTCTTCGCCTTCTCTTCATCTCCATTAGCTCCAACCCATTCCCTCTCCATCTTCATCATCATCATCTGCCAATTAAACACCATTTTATATTTTTTTATACTGACATTTCCACACCATGATATATATCCTAATATTGCAGTTTTCGAGTGTATTTATTTTATCTTATGACTAAAGCAATGAAACAGTTGTTGGACTTGGACTGGACATCTATAAGAACATAACATATGTATGTTGAGAGGCCTTAATTAATACAAGTTGAAGCTAACCTTGCGGGAGGGAAGTCCATGAACGTGAGCGTGAGCGTGAGTGAGATCTGGTGAGATAATAAACCAAAAACAAGTTATGATGAGAGTAAAACATGAGTGGTAGATATTTAGAAGAGAAAGAGAGAGAAAGAGAGTGAGACCAGAAGCATCATGAAGGAACAAGAGGCAGAAGAGTAGGAGTAGCACAAGACTTCTTGAATCCATTTTTTAGAGAGAAAGTGAGTGAGAGAGATAAAGAGAGAAAGATAGAAACTGTTCTTTACTTTGGTAATGAAATGAGAAGGGGACAGTCCAATTTATAACGTAAGCCTACAAGGACGAGAAATGGGATCTTCTATTTTTATTTTATTTTTTCTAAACGTGTATCATAGTAACTATTGAAATATCTTGGTTGCTTTTTAAAAATCTATAATAAATGGTTTATCAGTAACCAATGTTCATCAATCGACAACATCAATGGGCATAGAAAAAGTATGTGGTTCATGATTTAGCTATATATAAATTAATTAATGTTCATATTTTAACTGAAAACTTTCTCAATAAATCTAAGGAATTGTTTTAAATATCTCTAAGATTTTACTTACAATTGTGTATTTTTCACTCGATTACAGTTCTGTTTGCTTTAAAATTATTTAAATTAGTATTGGTAATTAGGTATAAAGTTTTGGTCCAGTTATAATTAATTCCTAAGTCTTACAAGTTGTAGAGATTAGCAACTCAACTAAATAGTGAATAGGTAGGTATATACACGGTTTGATGTGCATTTATGTTAATATATATATCTATATATATCATATATGAGAAATACCGTACACACTTGACTAGGTTATCATAAAGGTTAGTTTACAACAATTATGATTAACCTTGGAAAAAACCTAGGGAATATGCATAAACTAACTATGAAACAGAAAAGAATGAAGAAACTAACCTTCAACAACAGTATCTTGTCGGGGAAACTATGTAAATTACATTTGCAACCTTTATATATTCTCTCTCCATTATTCTCTTTTAATTTTGTTTTTTTCTCTCCATCCATCTTCGACCACTCTCTTCTCCTTTGTCTTCTTCACCACAACCATTCCCAAACCCATAATCAAATCTTTCTCATCGAAATAGAAATATATTTTCCTTTTTCTCTTCTCAATCGAAAGCGACACCACCAACAACAACGTCTTATCCGTCGAATCGTATCGACACCACCAACCGCCACCTCTAAACCACCACTACAGTATAAACCTCGACAACACCTTGTCCACCAATATTTGAAATCTTTTCTACTTCTTTTTTTCGTATCCATCACCGCCACCTCCATAACGACGACCAACACCTCCATAGCCACTGTCACCACCTTTCATATGACATGCTATTTGTTTTTAAGTAGCATGATATTGTTTTTCAACACGCTATATTTTTTTAACACGCTATATTTTCTAAAATGGCATGCTATTGTTTCATTTGACAAGCTATAATTTCGAAAATACTGTAGTTTTTACAAATTTCAAGCCAATTCAATGTTTTTATTTCAGATCCAGTGTCATTTTTATTTGATACATGTCATTCATTAAAATTACTTGTATATGTTTGTCTTCTTTCTCCACCATCACCGTCTTTTCCGTCGAATCGTATCGACACCACCAACCGTCACCTCTTAAACCACCACTACAGTATAAACCTCGACAACACCGCCTCCACCCATATTTGAAATATCTGCTACCTCTTTCTTTCGTATCCATCACCGCCACTTCCGTAACGACCACCACCACCTCTATAGCCACCGTCACCACCTTTCATATAACATGCTATTTGTTTTTAAATGGCATGCTATTATTTCTCAACACGCTATAATTTTTTAACACGCTATATTTTCTGAAATGACATGCTATTGTTTCCTTATATTTTTTGAAAACACTGTAGTTTTCACAAATTTCAAGTCATTTTAATGTTTTTCTTTCAAATCTAGTGTCATTTTTAAATGATACATGTCCTTCATTAAAATTACCAGTATCTGTTTGTCTTCTTTTTTTTATATCCAGCGACAAAGTTCTTTTAATTACCATAACTTACAAGGATAATTTCGTATTTATCCTACCCCTACCCCACTAGAAAAAGAGTTAGTTTCTAAAGAAAACTGACACAACGTTACTTTCTTAATTCTTGTGTAGAATTTGGCCATTTGCTAATATTACCCAAAAAACTATATATGTTTCATGAACAACCCATATAATTTAATATATCAATACTTCTATACTAGTACTCGTATTTAAACCCATTTAGATACATATTGTTACATAAAATAAACATGTTCTTCTTCAACTTTTTTTTTTTTTTTTTGTCATCCGAAATTAATTAGAGCTCAAAAGAGCCATTCCTGAGGAATGTTGTTTACAAATGTGATATGAAGCGGTTCTGTACGAATTTTTCGTGCCAGATGATCCGCTTTTACATTAGCATTGCGAGAAATTAAAGATAAAGAGAAGGATGAGAATTCTTCCTTGTCGCTCTGGAATTCCTCCAATTACACTGAAAACGCCGGCCATTCGGTTGGAGAAGACACCATCTTCACCAGATCAGAACAGTCTGTAAGGAACTCTACCTCTTGATTATCTGCACCAATCATACACTTCATCGCCCAGAGAAGGGCCTCGAACTCGGTATGTAATGGAGATAAACTTCGACGGAGATTTGCAGCTCCCATGGTTGGCGGCTCTCCGTTTGATGATGTACAAAACCATCCTGTACCGGAGAACTTATCACTTTCTTTCCACGATCCATCTACAAAGCAACGGTATCCAGAATAATTCGAGTCAAGTGAAGTATTCCCCACTCGAGAACGATTAACCAATTCCGCAGTACCATGAGTTTCATGATGAAGCTCAATTTGTGCTGACTGCCACAATTGTGCTTCTTTTTCCGCTAACCGTAATACCTCCAACGGATCTTTATCAATGTTTTCAAATATTTTTTCATTCCTTGCTTTCCATATATACCAGATAATCCATGGAAAGGCTGAAGAGTCAAATTCCAAAGGTATTCTCCAAAATAAATGGTCCAAATTTGCAAAAATAGACTCCGTTGGAAAAATTCCCATTGCTGTAGGAATCTGAGAGAGTGCCCAAACCTGTCGTGCCGGGTGGCACTGAAAGAGTGTATGATTGATTGTTTCCACTAGTTCGCCACATCTAGCACAACCAATATCACAATCAATTCCCCTTCTCCGCAAATTTTCCGTAACTGGTACACAACCCGTTAAAATTTGCCATAAGAAATGACGTATCTTAGGTGGACAATGCACTTGCCAAGAATGTGTTTTTAACGGTTTGATGTCTGGTCCAATCAATGAAAATTTTATCTCCGAATTTCCTAACCGTGCGGTATGATATCCCCATTTGACTGTATATTTTCCGGATTTTGTAAAATGCCAACCTAGTGTATCCTCCTTAGTTGGTGCACCCACAGGTAGGGCACTTATCATGGCGATATCTTCTGGATCAAAGATCTCTTCTAAGAGAGCAATATTCCAGAAATTCGACCGACTATCTATAAGATTGTTAACTTTTAACAATGGATCAACAAGTGAACCATTACTCTTTGCTGGTCTCGGGAATTGAGCTGGAATCCAGGGATCCTCCCAAACTGAGATGGATTTCCCCGATCCGACCCTTTTAATAAGTCCTTTATTAACCAGAGATCTAGCTGAACAGATACTACGCCATCCATATGATGGGGAGTATGATTTAATATTTTCCGAGGGATTGGATTTCCGAAAATACCGCCCTTTAAACACCTTCGCAAAAAGAGAATCTGGAACCGTAATCAACCGCCATAATTGTTTAGCTAATAGGGCTGAATTAAAATCATCTACATTCCGAAAACCTAATCCTCCTTCCGATTTACTATCGCACAACTTGTTCCAAGCCATCCAGTGCATACCTCTCGAATCTCCATTTGAACTCCACCAAAATTTAGCAACCGCACTAGTAAGTTTAGAAGTGATTGTTTTCGTTAGTCTGAAGCACGACATAACATAAGTTGGTAATGCTGCAGCTACCGATTTAATCATCACTTCTTTCCCACCTTTCGATAAAAATTTTGCCGACCATCCGTTAATTCTTGTTTGTAATCTATCTCTGACAAAAGAGAAAATTTTTGTTTTAGATCCACCCAAACTCTCTGGCAAACCAAGATAAGAACCCATCCCACCAATATTAGTGATTCCCAAGGTAGATTTGATTTCCTCCTTGATATCCTCATCTACCTTATGTCCAAACTGAATCGAGGATTTTAAAAAATTAATCTGTTGTCCTGAGACCGCTTCATACTTCTTTAAAATCCCCAATATTACCTCACACTGGTCCTTATTTGCCTTACAAAAGAATAAGCTATCATCCGCAAATAACAGATGTGAAACCGAAGGGCTTGCATTTGCTATCTTAATACCCGTAATTAGTTGTTCCCTTTCTGCTTTCCGAATATTCGCAATTAGCACCTCTGTACAGAGGATGAATAAATAAGGGGATAGCGGGTCTCCTTGTCGTAATCCCCTTTCTGGTACAATTAGTCCTCTAGGTTGTCCATTAAGGAGCACTCTATATTGAACTGTTGTAATGCACCACATTATCCAGTTAATCCATTTCTCACAGAAACCAAATTTTCTTAGAACCTTCTCAACGAAAATCCATTCCACCCTATCATAAGCTTTACTCATATCAGTTTTAATGGCCATGAATTTTCCTTTACATGTCGGGTTAGTTCTCAACCCATGAAACATCTCTTGTGCAATAAGTATATTATCTGAAATCAATCGTCCTTCGACAAAAGCTGATTGTGTTTCCGAAATCAGTTTTGGTAAAACCGTTTTAAGTCTTTGACAAAGAATCTTCGATATAATTTTATAACCCACATTGCATAGACTAATGGGCCGTAATTCCGTCATCCGTGTCGGTCTTTCCGTTTTTGGAATCAGACAAATATTTGTCGTATTTAACCGTTTGTCAAAAATTCCATCCTCTAAAAAAGAATTAACCAGAACAAGAAGATCTGATTTAATTGTAATCCAAGCCTTTTGGAAAAATAAGGCTGTCATGCCATCGGGTCCTGGCGATTTTTCCGGATGCATCATAAACAGAGCTGCTCTCACCTCACTCTCCGTAGCAGGTGCCGTTAGAAAATTATTAACCTGATCCGTAATCAAACTTTGTATTTCGGCCAAAGACTCCTCAAAAGCCTCGGGCTTGGTTGTAGTAAACAAATCCTTAAAATAAGAGACCGCTATATTTTGAATATCTTTATCTTCTGCAGACCAAATCCCGTTTGCATCATGTAACCCCGTAATCTGATTCCTTGCTCGTCTCTGTTTTATTTTCTTCAACTTTTATTTTCTAAGAAAATGTGTGAAATCAATCATAAACAAATAATCTGTTTTTAGACATAAAAAAAATGTAATCAACAAGAAATTCAATTAGGCTTGTGTCACAGTAGTAAATAGTACCTTAATATTCTTTCAGCTAGTTAACAGATTCTTAGAGAACTTTGTTCTCCTTTTACCAAAAAAAAAAAAAAAACTTTGTTCTCCTTTTACCAAAAAAAAAAAAAAAAAAACTTTGTTCTCCCTGACAATCAAATATATTTTCTTGAAGTTGAATCCGACATGAATGAGAAGATAAAACAAACAAATCAAATACTCGCCATATGTTTTGTGGTCAAAAATTTCAGTA